GATGCACAGGGGGATGCACAGGAGGATGCACAGGGGGACACACATCCAGCTGCAGCACCAGGAGCGGGGTGTGGCTGTCCCTGCCCCAAATCCCCCTGGGCTCCCTCTGTCCTCCCCCCAGCAGAGCACAGGGAGACCATTAACCTTTGGCTGCTGGTGAAAGTCATGCCTGTTCCTCACCAAAGCTGTTGGGAAGGGAAAGGGCTGGATTCTCCCTGCCTGCTCAACCCTTTCCATGAGAAACCTCCCTGGGGGCTCCACGAGCTCGTGGTGTCTGTGAGCTCCTCTCCTGCCCCTGGCTCTGCACCCTGGGCTGCTCTGGCTTTTCTATCCATGAGAATCCCTGCCCTGGGGACAGAATCCCTCCGTGGGAGCTGCTGGGGTGGCCAGGGAAGGGGTCTGGGCTCGCTGGAATGCAGGGAGAGGGAGGGGGGTGCCTGTGCCCCGGGGGGGTCATTTCATGCCCCCTCACACACCCCCAAGAAGCCCCAGCAGGGCAGGAGGGGGATGTTTATTCCCTCTCCTTCTGCTCCCTTCTCCCAGTTCCTTGGCAAACGCTGCTCTCTCCTCAGGGAGCTGTGGGCTGTTGTTGACCCACCAAACCCCAGGACAGAGAGGCTGGGCAAGGCTTGGGAAGGGGACCTGGCTGGAAGGTTTTCCCTGGGGCAGCTTCTCCGTGGGCTCCGAGCTGGCAGGAGCCGAGCTCAGCTTCCCTGCCGTGGAAGGGGCTGTGTTTGGGCAGAAGGTGGGGAGGTCTGGGGGCACTAAACCACCCAGCAGAGAGCTGGGCCCGGCCCTGGTCCCTCTGCTCAGCCCCCTCACCCTCTGCCAGCCACGGGCACAGTTGGCAGCAGCTTCCCCGGCGTCCCTGCCAGCCCGGGGTGGCCATGACCCACTTACTGAAGACACAGAGACAAACCCTGTCCCTGCAGGAGCCTGTCTGAGCCTCAGCACTGCCCTGCCAGGGCAGCAACAGGGGCAGGAAAGGGGGTCCCAGCACGGCTGTGCCCCAAACTGCCCTCAGTGGAGGTGGGGAAACCCCCCTGGGAACGGAGCTGTGCCCGTCCTGGAGGCTCTCCCTGTTCCTGAGGCTGTTCCTGAGGCTGTTCCTGAGGCTGTCCCCAGGTTCCCCGGGGTCCCCACACCATCCAGAGGAGTGGGGTGCTCCCCTCCAGGCCTTATTCCCCCCCCAGAAGGGTGGCTCTGCTCCAGGCTCCTGCTGTGGTGCCCTTCAGGAAATCACAGTTTAACCAGCAGATGAACAGGCTCCAGGTGCTTCCCGGTGGGAATGCATTCATTAACACCAGGGGGGGGTAATTTTTACACTGGTGCCCCCGTGGCTGGGTTAACCCTTCCCTCCTGTGTCCCTGGCTGTGGGATGGGGGGGTTGCAGTTGAGGATTCCCAAAGGGGCTTTTGCTCCATGTTCCTGTGGATTGGGAGCCTGGTCTTGCACCTCATCCTGAAAAATTTCCATTTATCCCACTGGTAGGACCCAGGAACCTCCTCCTTTCCATTCCACAAACCTGAGCAAGTGTCCCTGTGCTCTGGGGGGGAAGAAGCCCCCCTGGGACTGCCAGGGAGGGTGGGAGTGGCTGATGCTGAATCCTTGGTCTCAAAAAGGAATGAGCTGGGATGAGATGAAGGCTCAAAGAATAATGGAATCATTCAGGCTGGAAAAACCCTCAAAGCTTGTGGAGTCCAGCCATTAACCAGCACTAAACCCTGTCCCCAAGTGCCACATCCACATGTTTTTAGCACTTCCAGGGCTGGTGACTCCTGTTCCAGTGCCTGCCCACCCTTCCCATGAAGAAATTTCCCCTGATATCTGATCTCAACCTCCCGTGGCCCAATTTGAGGCCGTTTCCTCTCACCCCATTGCCTGTTCATTGGGAGGAGCTGCTGCCAGGGCCGGGCTGGGTGAGGCCTGACTTCTCCCTCCTCTGCCACCCCTGCAGATCAAATACCACGAGGAGTTCGAGCGGAGCAGGATGGGCCCCAGCCCCAGCGAGGGCTCGGAGCCGGAGCGCAGGAATTCCCAGGAGAGCTCCGGGTACCGGAGACCCGCCGAGCAGCAGCACCAGCCGTCCCACCACGTCCAGCCCACCAACCCAGGTGAGGCCCGG